TGAACCCCCAAGTTGCCTGTGATGGTGGCGCGTAAGTGCCCAGGGCCCTCGGTTCCAAACAAAATTTCGTTTTACAGTACATGTTACAATGACAATAAAATAAAGCTTCTTCTTCTTCTAATTATAAACCAATATCCAATCTCCCGTTTGTTTCTAAAATTCTGGAAAAAGCTGTTGCTAAGCCAGTGGTTCTCAAACATTTTTTGTCATTCCCCACTTAAGAGGGTGGGCGAATTTTCAAGCCCCACTAGTCGAAAAATAACGAAATCGGCCAATTTTAAAATTTCAAATTTATTTTCATATCAAATAACACCAAGTTCAAAACAGATAAAATATATGTGCAACTGTATCGTTTGACAGAGGGATAGTTTTCAATTTTGCAGCGGTTGTCTCATCCAGCATAAATCGACACCATGTCTACAGTTACAGGGAGAATGAGCTGCTCAGCAATTGTGTGTGATTTTTGCACTGTGCAATTCTGTATGCAACTTTGAATGAAGCCATTTTTGCTTTGCTGTCCACTGATGCAGATTTTACCATGCGATTTTTCTGCCGACGGTTTTCTGCCAGCTTTCTTTTTAAAAAGTCGAGTGGCTTATTAACGTGACCTGGGTGTGTTGTCTCTAAATGTCTTCATCATTTGTTGGGTCTCATGCTATCTGCTGCCAGCGTTTAAGACACAAGACACACATGGGTCTCTCCTCTGGCCCCACCATTCCCACTGTGAATCCAAGCGCGAGATGGGCTTCATCATGTTTTCTTTTCAGGTGGCTTTTTGGACGATAAGGCTAATGTCTGTCGTTTCTTTGTCTGCTTGCGCTGAATTGCCTACTTTTTTTGTGGTCTGTGTAATAAGTTTATCCATTGACGTTATTATGCCTACTATTATGCTCTGTGTGAACGTTTCCTTATATTGTTGCGCGGCAGTTAACATGCCGACGTTAAACCATTATTGTTGCACTATGGTTCCACTTTTTTCTCCCGGGCCCCCATGTTATTTTAATTTACTTACATTAATGACCCATTTCCAATTTTCTCCGTTCATTGCGCCCCACCTGTCATGTCTTTATTCCCCACTAGTGGGGCACGCCCCACACTTTGAGAGCCACGGTGCTAAGCAGTTATGTCACCACCTGCACAGGAATGATTTGTCTGAGCATTTTCAGTCAGGTTTTAGAGTCCATCATAGTACAGAAACTGCAATGGTGAAAGTCACCAACGATCTTCTCCTAGCCTCAGACAAAGGACTTGTCTCTATACTCGTCCTCTTATATCTCAGTGCTGCTTTTGACACCACTGATCACAGCATCTTACTGCAGAGACTTGAACATGTTATTGGGATTAAAGGAACTGCACTAAGTTGGTTTAAATCTTATTTATCGGAAAGATTTCAATTTGTTCATGTTAATGATGAACCTTCCACACAGACTAAAAGTCAGTCATGGCGTTCCACAAGGCTCTGTGTTAGTTCCAATTCTCTTCACTTTATACATGCTCCCTTCATCTCGAGTAACTAATCATATAGTTACTCTAGATGACATCGCTCTGGCCTCCAATACTGCAGTGCGGAACCTTGGGGTCATTTTCAACCCTGAGGACAGCCTTGACAATGCATGCAGTGATTGTTTGTTGTGCTTTTCTTTTCTCCTCTATCCACTCACGCCAACCAGTAGAGGCGGAAGGCCGTCTCGAGTAACTAATCATATAGTTACTCTAGATGACATCGCTCTGGCCTCCAATACTGCAGTGCGGAACCTTGGGGTCATTTTCAACCCTGAGGACAGCCTTGACAATGCATGCAGTGATTGTTTGTTGTGCTTTTCTTTTCTCCTCTATCCACTCACGCCAACCAGTAGAGGCGGAAGGCCGCCCACCAAGAGCCAGGGTCTGTCGGAGGTTTCTTCCGTTAAAGGGAGTTTTTCCTCCCCACTGTCACCAAGTGCTGCTCAAAGGAAGTTTTGGGGGATTTTTCTCTAATACTATGAGGTCTAGACCTGACTGTGTAAAGTTCCCTGAGATGATTGTTGCTGTCAGTTGGTGCTATATAAATAAAACTTAAAAATTTTATTGAAATGGTTCTGCAGACATACTGTATGAACCTGAGGTTTCACCTGTCTTGACTCACCTGAGGAGCAGCTCAGGAATGGGTTGTTATGATTAGAGGAAGAGGGATATGGAGCATCAAAGTCAATTCCCAGCAGCTCCTCAGTGTATGACCTCTTCACACTTACCTCCCTCTTCTTCTCCCATTGACTGGCTGCAACACAGTAGCAGGGGCTTCATTAGATCACAGCATGCTAACAAGCTAACATTTAGCATGATCATCACAGCGCAACTCGAAGTTTACCTTTCTGCCCAAACAGGTGGGAGGAGATGGTAGTGGAATGGTGGAGGCTGCAGGAGGATAAAACACATTTTTACACAGAACAGCAGGTCAGGCATGATCAGTTATTATTACCAAGAATC